CCTTTTTAAGGAAGCATCATTTAAACAGATCTAAAGACTGCAGTAAGACTGGCCAGAGAGAGTGAGAGGAGGAGCTTCCAAACAGAGGGGACCAGCCAGTGTGACTGTCAGGAGGCACAGCGTGTGCCAGGAACGGGCAGAGTGAGCACAGGTGAATGGCAGGAGAGGTGACAGGGCACGTGAGGCCACGTTACGGAATTCCGATCAAATTGTGAGTCCAGTGGAGTAAGCCGCTGGAGAGGTTCCTGAGCTGGGGTAAGACGTTGCTCTAGCTGCCTTGTGGGAGGTGTGCTGAAGACAAGCCCGGTTAGGAAGCGATTGCAGTAGTTTAGCGTCAGACTTGCTGGCCTTAGACGAGGTTTTGCTTAATGGCATCCTTCTCTCCGCAGCCCGTCAGTCTCTAAAGAGTAAAACAGAACTTTTATTGGATTGGAAAATAAGTTTTATATTGGAAAACACGGGATTTCGAATTGCACACTGGTCACTAGTAGGCTACATTTTATTGCATGTTTTGTAATTTCATAAAAAGCAAATGTCGGCATGTTTGTCAGGTTTCTTATGTTATTCGAGACGAAGTGGAGAAGTACAATCGAAATGGAGTCAATGCCCTGCAGCTGGACCCAGCCCTCAATAGGCTTTTCACAGCAGGTCGAGACTCCATCATAAGGATATGGAGTGTCAGTCAGCACAAGGTAAGGCAGGGGTCAAGTTCACGTTTGAAATCGATGCTTCGTAAATTTCGGTCTGTCTAATATGGCGCCCTTCACAGTTTCAGATGTCATCCCCCTGAACACTGAGTTATTTGGTACACTGTATAAAGACATTGCAACCGAAATCCTGTGAGCCCTTCAGAAAAACACCCCTAGTGGAGTTTTAGCAGTATTTTGGCTAAGGCAGGGACTCCATAAATTAGGTCTGTGCTAAGAGCTCTCTGCTACAAAGAAACAAAGGGATTTGTCTGGTAGGGGGGTTACTTGCAATCATTTATTTTTTGGCATTAAATATGCTCTCCTAAAGCTTCTTTGCAATCCTTTTCACTGCTACTAAGAAAAGGTTGAAGATGCTTTTACGTTTATAATTGATCTTGAGCAAACATTTGATTTCTTCATTTAAAGGTGATTAGGGCGCCCACAAAACCCACAGGGCTTATTTGATAATATAAAGTTGGTGTAAAGTATGAAGACAATGTGCCCCCTCCCCGACTTGAGGAGACTGAAAGTCTGCGTCTTAAACAGGGACCAGGATTTAAATCTATGTAAAGAGAAATCCCCAGTCAGAGGGGAACGGGCTCTTGTTGTATTTTGTTTGAATGCTTATATTGTAAATGACATAGAAAGGAAGAATCAGGGAAGGAAAAGGTGCATTTATTGAGCTCCTAGCTATGTACCAGACGCTCTTAGCACTTCCTATCGAGTATGGTCTTAATTCTCACAGTAATCCTCAAGCAGCTGTTGTGAGTCATTTCCATAGATGGGAAAAAAGACTTAGAGAAATCCATAGTTAAATAAGTAGTAAGCGGCCAAGAATTAGAGCCCATCTAACTTCAAAACCCTGGTGCTAAACCTTATAGTTTTAAAAGCCTGTGTCTTTTTAGCAAGCTCTGCAGGTCTGATGTTCAGTCCAAAAAAGAAGCACTGTTTTGCCCAGTTGCTGGATA